AACAACGTTCTCGCTTTGGGTTTTCACGCGATTTACTGGAGATCGGGCTGTCGCTGGAGATTTCCTCGCGATACATGCAGGACTCACGCTTCAGCAACCCGCCTGTTCGACCTGGCCGCCTGGGCCCTCCTTCCCGACCCGCCGTCTGTAGGGTCTGCCCGCACGATCTGCCCGTCTGGTTTTGCCGCGCGCTTTCTCCTCGTAGCCGTCCTCCTGCTAATTTCCCTCGTGCTCCATCCTGTCCCTCCCTCTTCAATCTGTCCTCTTCTTGCGTTGTTTTAGGGGCTGCGCTATATGCGCGTGGCAGGTGAGGAAGATATGCCCCCGACGGGTGCGATCGAAGGCGTCGGTACCGAGGGCTTGGGATATACGTGTTGAGTGACACGCGAGCAGGTCGGGGCGAACAGTCGTAAACTTTTGGTTTTCGGCTGCTTGGGCCTGACCAGAGAAACAGAGTTTGCCCCCAGAGGACACGCTCAAATCTAGAGAAGAAATTATGTTGGCCCCTTCCTTCCTTCCTTCCGGTCACCATTGTCTCCTGGGTCTCGCACCCTTCTTTTATCAAGGGGGATTGAGGTGTCATCACGCAGTGTATTTTCCCCCGCCAATTTACAACAACAGCGGCTCCCGCATGATATATTTTTCACAATGTATTCCAAAGTCGCGCTCTCCCGCGGGACTTTCTTCACAATTTATGTACGAATCGTGTTCTCGCGTGGGTTGTCCTCGCAACTGGTTCAGGCGCCGCGCCCTCGACAGACAGGATTTGTCGCTGTGGACTTTTTTACGATTTATTCGGGAATCGCGCTACCGCTCGAGACCTCGCGATTCACGCAGGCCCCGCGTTTCAACAACCCCCCTGTTCGACCTGGCCGCTAGGGCCCGCCTTCCCGACCCGCCCGTTAGGGTCTACCCGCACGATTTGCCGGTCTGGTTCTGCAGCGTGTTTTATGATCATATTCCCCTCATGCTATTCTCTCTCGCGTGCTCCATCCTGCCTGCCCCCTCCCCCTTCCACCCGTCCTCTTCTCCCCTGCTTTAGGGGCTGCGCCAAATGCGCGTGGCAGGTAAGGAAAATGTACCCCCAAGGGGGTACGATCGAAGACGACGAGGGCGGGTACCGAAACTTTGGGGTGTACGTGTTGAATGGCACGCGAGCAGACTGATTTAACAGTCTTGAAATGTTGTTGTTCTTATGTATTGTTGTTGTTTTCCCATGTCTAAAGCATAGTTGATCCCCACCATCCGGTAACCATTGTATTTTTCGCATGAAGTGCTCCTTTTAGGGCTCGCGCGACAAGTCACTTTGGGGTCACCTAACTGTGCCCCTGGCCCCCGGTTTACAGCAACAGCGGTTTCCGCCTGATGCGTCCTCACAATGTATTCCCAAATCGCGCTCTCGCGCGGGATTTCCTCACAGTTTATACAGGAATCGCTCTCTCGCGTGGGACTTCCTCGCAATTTATTCAGACGCCGCGTCCTCGACAGTCAGGGGTTCTCGCTGTGGAATTTCCACGATTGATTTGGGAATCGCGCTATCGCTGGAGACTTCGTTTGAGACTTTCTCGCGATTCATGCGGGACGCACGCTTCAGCGACCCGCCTGCTCGATCGGGCCGCCTGGGCCCGCCTCCCCGACCCGCCCATTAGGTTCTACCCGCCCGATCTGCCCGTCTGGTTCTGCCACGTGCTTTTTGACCCTAGCCCCCTCCTGCTACTGTCTCTCGTGCTCCACACTCCTCCCTCCCCCTGTCCCTTCATTTCATCCGTCCTGTCTTCCCCTGCCTAAGGGGCTGCACGAAATACACGTGGAAGGTAAGACAGGTATACCCGTCATGGGGGTGTGATCGAAGACGAAGAGGCGGGTATCGACTGTTTGGGACATATGTGTTGGATGACACGTGGGCAGATACGAGCGAACAGAAGTAACCGTTGTTGTTGTGTTGCCGTTGTTGTTGGTGGTGGTGTTGTTGGTGTTGTTGATGATGTTGCTAGTCTTCTTCTTGTTATTGTTGTTGTTGTTGTTGTTGTTGTTGTTGTCGTTGGCGTTGTCGCTGTCGTTGCCGTGATCGTGGTTGTTGCTGTTGTTGGCGTTGTTGTTGTAGGAGTCGTAGATGTGCTTGTTGTTGGTGTTGTCGTTGTAGTTGTTGTTGTTGCTGTGGTGGTTGCTGTTGTTGTTGCTGGTGTTGTGGTTGGTGTTGTCGTTGTCGTCGTCGTTGTCGTCGTCGGCGTTGTTGTTGATGCTGCAGATGTCGTAGTAGTAGTAGTAGTAGTAGTAGTAGTAGTAGTAGTAGTAGTCGTAGTAGTCGTAGTAATCGTAGTAATAGTAGTAGTAGCAGTAGTAGGTAGTAGTAGTAGTAGTAGTAGTAGTAGTAGTAGTAGTAGTAGTAGTAGTAGTAGTAGTAGTAGTAGTAGTAGTGGTAGTAGTAGTAGTAGTAGTAGTAGTAGTAGTAGTAGTAGTAGTAGTAGTATAGTAGTATAGTAGTAGTAGTAGTAGTAGTAGTAGTAGTAGTAGTAGTAGTAGTAGTAGTCGTAGTCGTAGTAGTAGTAGTAGTAGTAGTAGTAGTAGTAGGTATAGGTAATAGTAGTAGTAGTAGTAGTAGTAGTAGTAGTAGTAGTAGTAGTAGTAGTAGTAGTAGTAGTAGTAGTAGTAGTAGTAGTAGTTATAGTTATAGTTATAGTAGTAGTAGTAGTAGTACTAGTAGTAGTAGTGGTGTGGGGTGGGTAGTAGTCGTATGTAGTATTAGTAGTAAGTAGTAAGTAGTACGTAGTCGGTGTAGTAGCAGTGTGGGTGGGAGTGGGCGTAGTCGTGGGGTAGTGTTCGAAGTAGTAGTAAGTAGTAAGTAGTACGTAGTAAGTAGTAAGTAGTAAGTAGTAAGTGGTAGGTAGTAAGTGGTAAGTAGTAGTAGTAGTAGTAGTAGCAGCAGTAGTCGTAGTCGTAGTCGTAGTCGTAGTAGTAGTAGTAGTAGTAGTAGTAGTAGTAGTAGTAGTAGTAGTAGTAGTAGTGGTAGTAGTAGTAGTAGGAGTAGTAGTAGGAGTATTATTATTATTGTGCTCATTAGTAGTAGTAGTAGTAGTAGTAGTAGTAGTAGTAATAGTAGTAGTAGTAGTAGTAGTAGTAGTAGTAGTAGTAGTAGTTGTTTGTTTGTTTGTTTGTTTGTTTGTTTGTTTGTTTGTTTGTTGTTGTTGTTGTTGTTGAACTCTCACTCTTGAAGAACAATTATTGTTGATCCCCACCACCGGTGCACATTGTTTTTTTTGAATTGGAATGCCCCCCACGGGGCTCGCACCTTGCTTTTTGTTAAGGAAAATCTTCCTCCTCAAACTGGGCCCCTGGCCCCCGGGTTACAACAACAACGGCTCTCGCCTGAGACTTCCTCACAATTTAGCCAGGACCCCCGCTCCCGCCCGAGACTTCCTCGCAGTTTATTGAAGAATCGCGCTCTCGCTTGGGACTTCCTCACGATTTATTCAGGAATCGCTCCTCTTGCGCTCTGGAGTCGCGCTCTCGCTGGAGACTTGCTTGAAATTTGCTGAAGAATAGCGCCCTTGCGTTGGAATTTCTTGCAATTTACTTCAGCGCCGCGCTCCCGACACCCAGGCACCCAGGAGTCGCGCTCTCGCTTAGGACTCCTTCACAGATTACCTAGGAATCGGGATCTCGCTGCCCTTCGTGGCCCCGTTGCAGCCCTTCGTGGCCCCCTCGCTTTGTTTCGTGGCCCCGTTGCAGCCCTTCGTGGCTCCCTCGCTTTGTTTCGTGGCCCCGTTGCAGCCCTTCGTGGCCCCCTCGCTTTGTTTCGTGGCCCCATATCTGTATGCCCTTCGTGGCCCCCGCTCGTTCGCGCCCGTGGTGGCCCCATATGCATGCCCTTCGTGGCCCCGCTGTCGCCCTTCGTGGCCCCCTCGCTGCCCTTCGTGTCCCCGTTGCTGCCCTCAGTGGCCCCGTCCTTACCCTCCGCGGCCCAACATACGTATGCCCTTCGTGGCCCCCGCTCGTTCGCGCCCGTTGTGGCCCCATGTGCATGCCCTTCGTGGCCCCGCTGTCGCCGTTTGTGGCCCCCTCATTGTCCTACGTGGCCCAGGTGCTACCCTCAGTGGCCCCATCGTTGCCTTCTGTGGCCCCGCATTATCTGCCCTTCGTGGCCCACGCTCGTTCGCGCTCTTCGTGGCCCCATACGCATTCCCTTCGTGTCCCCGCTGTCGCCCTTCGTGGCCTACTTCGTGTCCTTCGTGGCTCTGCTGTCGTTCTCTCTCGCTCTCGCTTTCGCTCGTCGTCGTCGCCGTCGCCGTCGTTGCCGTCGTCGTCCGTCGTCGTCGTCGTCGTCGTCGTCGTCGTCGTGGTCGGTCCCCTGTCCGTCCCTCTTGGGGTCGGGTCGACGGTCCGCGGCCGCCCCGCCGATCAGCGCTGCCGCTGGCCAGGCCGACGGTCCGCGGCCGCCCCGCCGCTTGCCGGGGCCCGGCCTGCAGGGAAGAAAGGTATACCCCCCGAAAGGGGTTCGATCGAAGACGAAAAGGGCGGGTATCGAGGGTTTGGGAAATTCACGTTATTCGACACTCGAGCAGATAAGGGCGAACAGTCTTAAAATGATTGTCGTTGTTGTTGTTGTTGCTGCTGTTGTTTGTGATGCTTGGATGACGAGAGGAGGAGGAGGAAGAGGAGGAGGAGGAAGAGGAGGAGGAGGAGGAGGAGGAGGACCATGAGAGTCATCAGGAGGAGGGGGAGGTCCAGGAGGCGGAGACGGAGGAGGAGGTGGATGATGATGATGATGATGATGATGATGATGATGATGATGCTGATGATGATGATGATGATGATGATGATGATGATGATGATGGTGATGATGATGATGATGACGATGAGCAGGAGGAGGAGGAAGAGGAGGAGGAGGAGGAGAAGGAAGAGGAACGCCCCCTCTTCCTCCTGCCCCTCCTCCTCTGCCCTGTGCCCTCCCCCTCCCCGAGCAGCCCAACGTCTGCTGTCCCTCTCCGCCCGTTACAGAGGTCCATCAACGAGCGTACGGCGGGCCCGAGGGAGCTTCGCGCGTACCCGGAGACCATGCAGCAGCAGCATGGGTGGCTCCTGGCCACCACCCTGGGCGCTGGGAAGCGCGTGGGCGAGGTGCCCCCCCTTCCCCACAAGGGTTTTTCGGACGTTCTCGGATGTTCTCGTCGGTTCTCAGAGTGTCCTCTGGCCTCGGGATGCGTTCCAGCTGCAGTGGCTAGCCGAGAGCGTTCTGGGCGTGCCTGGATGGCGCTGAAGGTCTGCCAGAGGCCCGATTGATAGCCTGAAAGCCCAGATATCCAGCGATGTTTTTTTGTTGTTCTTGCCGTCTTTAGTGATAATATCATACCGCCGGATGTCTGCTTGCTAGGTCTGAGCGGCCACCACGACTCCGCACTCCGTCCGAGGCTTTGGCGATGCGGCCCCAGAGATTTTTGATAGGTGGACTGGAGTTTCGTGGAGTGGTCCCTCCCGCCAGCTTCGGCGCATCCACGATCCCTGCGCCGGTCGGGACCACGCTGGTCCCCCTCTCGTGCCCCCATCGCCTCATGAACGAGCACAACGGAAGGGTTTTGGCCATTCGGCCTCCAGGGGCCCCTGCTGGGCCCCAGGTCCGTCAAGAAATGGCTTGGACGAGGAGCCATTCCTGGCCTCGTCAGCCCAAGAGGCCGGATCAGGTCAGCGCAACCCACCCCTGGGGGCCAGGAGCGCCGTCAGAACTCGTCCTTGAATGCCTTGTCGGAGGAGCCGGCTCTTCCTTTGTCTCCCCGTCTTCCAGCGCCGCCTCCTTCTACGGCTCCTCCTGCCAAGTTCCCGCTCGTCTTGCCAAGAACCCATCGCTCCCTGCCTGGATACTTCTCGCTCAACGGCTGGCCCATCGTTGAGGTCTCTGCTGGCGACTCCGCGGCCCCTGCTGGCATTTTTCCCCATGATCGAGCACAGCTCGGAGAAGAACTCGCAGCCGCCTTCGCGGAACCAATGGCTTCAGCGCAGTGGCTTTAGCAGTCGATGGTCGCCATGGTTCGCCAAAGCATCCAAAGAGGGTCTCAACTTCGTCTCCTGGACCTTGCAAGCTCTGTTTGGTCGGCCTGCTTCCAGCAGGTCTAACAAGAGGACTGCTCTCACTTCATCCATGCGCCAGAGGGCTGCCATCGCGATCCAAAGCCCACTGCAACACCTCCGGCCTTCAGCTTTTTGTTGAATCTACCCGGCATCACTACAAGTCCTGCCTCTCGGCGTTTGACGGCGACTCGGAAACTACTGGTGGTGTTGGATTTCTACTACCGTTCGACGAGCACGAGTCCCGCTTCCACGAGCAGCACTGTCCCCAATCGAGAACGTTTCCTGTTGTGTACTAGGTCGCATTGCCGAGCTTCGCGTTCAGGACGCCATCCGAGTGTTCGAGACATCGATCGTCAACGTGCACAACCGCGAGCTTCTATCAGAGGAGAAAACGAATTTCAGTGCAGCGCGGCATGCTGCTCAGGCTCACGTCCCTCCCGAATGCCCACGCATTTCCCATCATCCGCAACTTCAACACGCCCGACGCCTCGCTTAATATTGTTATACTACCTTACCTGTTGGCACCATCGGCGCGGCAGTTACTTCACGCTCGTCCACCCACCGCTGCTCTCCCAATGTGACGGGATCCATTACCGACAGGTGCTTCATCTCTTTGCCGACTTCTTCAACATTCTCGCACTTCGAGTCGCTGCTCACCGTCGATAGACGCCCGCTAAAAAAACAGGTGAGCCCGCCAGCGACCATGACATACTTCATTTACGTTTGCGTTCGCAAGCTCCGAAACCACCTTTGGAACGAGGCGTCCGTTTCCTCAAATTCGACCCACCACATAGCAAGCTTTCCTGTCAACGCTTCCCCAACGATATCGACCCCTTCTAGATGGATCTTGTTTCGATGTGGATATCAATGCAGCGTACCGTGGCCTGAACGGCGCAGAAATATCGCGACGCTACCATCAAGGTCCGCCCATTAGAACTGAACGGCCCCGACTCCGTCTTTCTCAACGAAGCGAGAGCCATGACCCGCAGTGGCATCGCCAGAGCGGTACCGAACAAATACTGTCTCCTTGCTCGCATGTTTGCTTCTAGCACCTCTGATGACACCAAGTGCTTGCACATCGCGTGCTACTCCATCAGCATTATCGAACCGAACGCCGTCGCATCCGTCGTTGACACGGCCTACGCTGCGGTCAGTGATTAAAGACGACATCCAGCCGCTGGCAGAGCACGGGCAGCCTGCCAGGATAACAGGTGGCAGCTTGTCGACATGTGGCGGCGACGTGCTCGTCGTGATAGATGGAAGGGCGAGCTATAGGAGCCCTTCGCCAAACAAGTCATCGTTGCTGGCGTCCGCTTCGCGACTGGCGGTCAGCGAAGCGCGGTCGCCGACCCGATGGCCATGCGTGGCGCGCTTCAATTTCACTGGGGCATAGCATTCGCCGCCGAGCCCGTTGACAGCGAGGCGGTGCGTCGCTGCCTCGACAGCATTCTCGCCTCGCTCGCCCACTTCCACGGGGTCTTCCTCTCCCAGGACCGCGAGACCTTCGAGGCGCAGCCCGGAAGACAGTCGACTCTGCGCCTGGGCCCGACGGCCTGCCCCGCCGCGCCCTCGTCAACTCCCCGGACAGCTTCGGCGCGATCGCGGAACTCGCGCGCTCCATCGACAATGGCGGCCCCGCCCCGTTCGACTTGGAATGTTCGCAGATGGCCATGCCCCCCCAAAGGCAGCGATCCGCCTGACAAGTTCGAGCGCGCCCGCGCGCCCGAATGCGTCGGGCGTCTGGCAGTGGGCTCAGGCGTCGAGCCCATCGCAGACCAGCCATTTCTGGGGGGGCGCGGGTCTGGGGGGCCGGGGGCGCCCTCCTAGATGATATACTTCTTTTATATAATTTCAAGCAGTTGCACCTGGGACTTCGCACTGTTGTGATGCTGTAGGGCAGCGGCGACGGCCGTGGAACAAACCCTGAAGGTGGCGCGAAACCCCTCGCTGGACAGGGCCGGAGATTCCGCTCGACCCGGCGCTGGGATGGCCGTCTCAAGCTATCGCCGCATTTACGACAGCTATGCCAAACAGACATGAGCGCGAAGTCCATGGCACCCCGATGTCAGGACGCCGGCACAACATGCATCTCGCACCTTTGGCTGAGCCGGCCAAGCGCTTCCATGAGGGCGGCGTGCAGGCACGGTGGCAATCGGGTGCGAAACAATGCGATCGCTTGACGTATGACAGCTTGACGCGCGACGAGAAATGGCACCGCGTCGACAAACTGAGAAACATATCCTACAGACCCGCGCCTCGCAACAACGATCGAAACAAACCGAGCCCACCGCGCAGCGCGCAGCAGGGGGACTGCGCCACTGCGCGTCCGAGGGGGCGCCACCCCGACATCGCTTGGGCGTCATGCGTTATGATTTTGGACCGGAGCGCCGGGGCCCCCGAAAACCAAAGGGCAGGGGTGGCCGCCGGCAATCGGCCGTCGGCGCGAAGCCGTTGCAAAGATTCGGAGCGAGCGTGCGCGGCGCCGCGAACCTTCCCCTTCCAACCCTGACCGCGCGGGAGACGACGACAGTGATAATGCAGAGCAGGGGTTGGGGGGGGGGGGCTACGAGGAGAGGACATCGACGTAGGTGGTGGGGATGATAGAGGCGACGCGGAGAGGGGGGGGCGGGGCGTGAGAAATATGGAGGGGGAGCGGGAGGACAGGGAGGGGGGGGGGAGGAACGGGCATGCCGGACACGCCCTCGCGGGACCGCAGGGTGCGCTGGTCCTCCGCAATGACGGCGCGCGAGGATGGGGGAGCCAGGGGGTGGCGCTCGGCCGCCCAAAATTTCCCGTGCAACCCTTGCGCGTCGATTTTTTCTCCCCGCCAAAGTGGCGTGCGCCTCCCCTGGGGGGCTTCCAAAGTGGCCGTTTTTTCTCCACTAGCGGAACGCTACTCGGTAAGCTTTCTTCGTCCGCTGCAGCAACACTACTAGGTATGCTTTTTCGTTCCCCAGAGGAACACTTCCGGGTGTGTCGCAAGGGGGCCGGACTGGTTCCGCCTCTGCGGCCTTGTCGCGAAGACCGGGGGCAGTGTCGTTCGAGGGGGGCGCTACTAGGTGAGGCTGCCGCGGCGGTGCCTGCAACAAGCTTGCACGGATATTTTTGGAGTCCTCTGGAACCCGTGCCCGCCCCCGCATTATTGCCCTCTCCCCTGGCGGCGCCCTGCCCCGCGGGGGCCTGAAAGCCCCGGCGCCGCTGACCGGGCCGCGTCCTATGCCGTTGCCCGCCGTCCGGTGGCAACGGGCCGGGGCGCCCCCGTGCCTCGCGCCGTTTGACGGCTTGCGCGCCCCCAATTTCTGGCCGTTTTGCGCGGAGACGCCTGGCCGACGGGAGACGCTGCCCGAGGGCGGAGAAACGGGCAGAACGATCGCCCCCCGCTTCGACGCCAGCTACCGCGCCAAGTTCCTGCGCCCACAGCGCGTTCAGCGCTCTCCGAAACCGATGGCAATTTAGTTCAGGCGATCGCCCGCGCCACTCGGAATCGCGAGCGAACTGCCGTCTGACACTGGCACGTGCGCGTCGATAACATGCAATCGCACCTGCGCTGTGGGGGGCACTCGTTTGGCGCGGCGTGCGCGACGCAGCCGAGCAGGCAATGTCTGTCAATTTTGTGCGAGCCGCGCCCAACAAACCCCGTGATGGCTCAGTTCAAAAGGTCCCGCTCACTGTGTGCCAAACGACCCCCGGCGCGATGGCCGACGCGCTGGTCGCAATCATCGAGGGGGCGGGGGCGCCAGGAAAGCAAATCTTGGATCTGATGGGCGCCCCGGGGGGGTGAGGACCACAGCTCCCCCAGTTGCCGCTGGTCGGCATCGCAGCCGCGTGCCGCCGCAAGCTGCACCGCGTCGCTGCGCTGACTGCGCCCGAGCAGCAAGGTTTCGTCAAAGGCAGGCATGCCCCGACCAACGCCGTCGTGAACTCGCGTTGCCGACAGCCTAGCGTCGCAGAGGGCGCGCCTGACACCGTGCCATGCTTCGCCATCGTGGACGTCGCTGCTGCCTTCCCCGGACCCTGCGCGACCGGCTCTGGGAGGTCCTCAGCCGATGTCGCATCCACGGACTGATGCTCGACCTCTTGCGCGCCGGCCACCACGTTTGCCCATCGCTTTCGTCGAGCTCGACGGCGCCGCGAGGCTTTTCCACATCGCCGAGTCTGGCGCGGCCCAGCGCTGCCCTCGCAGCGGCGCGATATTGGCGCTCATCTTCGACTCGATTATCCGCAGAAGCAGGCGGGGGGTCGACGGCGTCGGGCGCGGCCTCGTCGGCGCCTGCGCTGGCGACTTGGATCGCCCTCGCCGCGTGCAGCGGCGTCGAGGAGCTGTTCCCGCGCACGCAAGCTACCCGACTCTTTGCTGGGCTGCATCTGCAGCCCCAGAAATGCATCATCACACCCGCCCGGGCCTTCCAGGCGCCCGGCATCACGAATGCGATTCAAGGCGTCTTCGGACAGATCTACGAGCCATGGCAAGAGCACAAAATCGCCAGCTATGCTCGATGCCTCGGCGCCCGCGACGGCCCTGGAGGTCCCTGACGGCCCGGTGTCGCGCGCCAGCGGGCAAGTGATGGGATCGGGTTCAAGTGCTCGTCGGGCCCCGCGCCCCTCTGCAGCGTGGCATCCAGCTCTGCCGCGTTGCCGCCGTCGCCTGCCTCTCATCGCGCATTGGCCAGCCGCGCCCGCCTTCGTCGCGCTTCCTTCCCCGATGTTTTAAGCGCGCTGCGCGAACTGTTGCGGGCTGCTCCTGTGAGCTTCGCAAAATGGGCAATGTCTCATTCGAGAGCTGGGCTTGCGCCGACATTCCCCAGGAGGTCGAGGCGCTCCTCTCGGCCGCGATGCGGCGCGTGGCCGCGACGACGCATGCCGGCTGGAGGCCCCGCGCGCAACGGCGCCGCGCCGCTGCTGAAGAACCCCCCCGTCGCCCAGATCGAGGCCGGCCGTTGGCGCGCGGGCTGCTTGGAGAGGAAGGTCCCTAACGCCTGGAGATTCGAGGCTGCCCTCACCTGCCAGCTGTGCCGCGCATGCCGGGGCTCTCTGCTCAAATCTTTCAAGCGCTGGATGGCGCCGGCGCCCGCGCGAAAAATGCATGGGGACCTGCTCGCGTCCGCGCTGCTGCTCCGGGGCGCCGTGCCATTTGCGCTGGTCGCTCTATCCTGCCTGGCGCCGAGGCTGGAGAAAGGCGCCGTCAAGGGTGGGGCAATGGCGCCAAGTCGCCTCGGCAGATCCGCCTCCTGGAGTTCCAGTGGCCCCTCCTCATTTGACAGGGCCACCCTCGACCGCGTCGGAGCGCGGTTTCCGTCCGGGCGTGGGGCCCCGCGCCGCGCGCGAGGGCGGCGGCGACCAACTGCGCGGAGGAGCGCCCAGCGCCCCTCTTCCTCGAGCAGAGAGGTCCTTCTGACACATGAGCGAATGGGCCGAAGCGCGGGTGGCGGCCTGGCTTCCCGCCCTCGTGGGCCCCGTTGTCGACGAGCAGGAGGGCTGGGTGAGGTGGCGCGCGGCGTGCCTCGCAGCGGCTTCACGACGGCCCCAGTTGGCGGAGGCTGAGATGCAGAACGCGGACGCGAACGAGCAGCTCGTAACATATGTGAACGGGCATAGGGGCGCGCAGCCACGGGAGGCATCGCTGGGCCATGATGTGCTTTGCCCCTCGCCCTTTTGCCGCTGCCGCCCGCCAGCGCGACGCCGGGGGCGTTGGGCATCGGCCCGCAGGTGTTGGATATCCCCCGAACTTCCTGCTCCTGAAGTCTTCCCGAGCGACGCCGAGCCCGACGTTGAAGCGGATGGGCTCGCGTTCCTTATCGACGTGGCGGATTGGCGTCGTTCTGCTCTGCTGAAGTGAGTTTTCTCCGCAGCCGCCCAGCGCGGGCTCCACCTTCGCAGCTCTGGCCAATGTTGAAAGCCGGGGCGTGGACGACAAGCTACCGCATGCACATCAACCCCGCCAGGGTCCCGCGCTTCTTCGGCTGCCCGAGCGACCGCGGGCGCCCGGACAACGTCGACGACGTCGCGCGCGGATGCGGTTGCACCTTTGCCAGCCGCGCGTCGTCGTCGCCTCGTCGCCGCTGGTTCGCTTCGGCCGCATCGGTGACATCCGCGACGGTGAGGACGACATCTGCCGCGCCATCGCGAAGTCGGCGGTCGCACCAAAGACCTACAATTTCATTCGCATTGGCAACCCGACCTCCAGCCACGGTTCGAGGGCCGACGTCTACAACCCCAACGAGGGCGCAGGTGCCGCCGCCCGTCGCGCGCCGATGCTTCCCCCGTGTCTCTTCGGCGGCGCGGGGCAGCAGCGGCGCCAAGAGCTAACGAACGTTCCGAGTGGGACGTTCGCTTTTCCTCCTCCTCTTCCTCCTCCTCCGCCCCTTCTTGACCGAATCCTCTCTGCTCCTTCAGGGCGTCCTCTGGCTTGTCCTGGGGAGACAGGGGTGGGGACCTTT